TTTTCATTTTAATTAAGGTATGAATTCGTACTCGACAACAAAAATTTGCCCGAACATTGCTTTTGATGGTTTATTCTCCCAGCACTGATTCAATATTTCTTACTGATATTTGCAGTGGCTGCCGGGGGTCGCCATTGCGTTGCTGTATCAGCTGGAGGAGGCGTGTATGTATGGGGTCACAATGAATATGGTCAACTGGGCACAGGAGATACTCTCCGTAAGTGATGGTCAGATTTGGACTCAGCATTGAGATGAATTCGAATTTTTTTCGAACATTTTAGCTCGCTCTACTCCTTTTTTCTTGGAAGGAATGAGCGCAATGCACATAATTGAAGCCTACTGCGGTGACTCGCATACTCTTCTGCTTTCCCAAGAAGGACGGTTATTTGCGTTTGGTTCAGATGCGCATGGTCAAATTGGAGGAGGGAAAAAGTTTGTTCCAGCCTTTGTTTGTTCTTAGGGGTTGTGACTCTATAATTTATAATTTATCTTCACTCTAACTTGTTTAGCAATTTGAAACTTGCCACTCTTCTTTTTTTTTCTTTTTTTTGATTAGGTGAATTCGAGATAAAATGAGAATTAAAGACGGAATGAGTTTGCGGAGGGGACCGGAATTCAAACACATCATTTTTATCCGTCACTGCCAATTTGCATATTGAAGTTCTTCTTTGAGCAATGATTAATGGCATTGTTTTGCTTGAAACTCATGTTCCTATACGTTCGAAATCTTTAAGGTTTGACAAGCACCTTAATCCAGCAGCAGTGGCTGAGTTGATGGGAAGCACAGTGACCAGAGTAGCTTGTGGACGGTCAGTTTTTCTTTAACGCGCTTTACAAGCACTTCACACTTTTTAAAGAGTTTCAATGCACAGTGTCAAAAAATTGTCAATCACCGGGGCATTAGATCAATGATTGTTTACTCTAACTGATTTTTTTTTAAAAATTGGTTTCTGTCTTCTATCATCCCATGTCCATCGTACCTGCAAAGCTGTTCTCCTTTGTTACAGCAATTTAAAGGTTCTCTATGTTACTTCTTACTCCCGTGATGAAGACTTTTAAGGAATCATTCCATAGTCGTCATTGGCGGTCACTTATATCCATTCGGGCAAAATGCAAATGGCCAGCTTGGGAATGGATCTGCAGTAAACCAACTAATCCCACGACAAACCGAAGAACTTGATCACGTTGTTGCTGTTTTCGCTGGCTTCGATCAGACGTTCATCCTTCGATCTCTTAACTCCCCTGTATGTGGTTATTAACTTGAACAATCGTGATTTTCCATCTGATAAGCTGTCGTGCATGCGGATATTTTCAGGCGCTGACAGCTGGTCCCAGTTGTCCTCTCAAGGTCCCTCTATTCCTTTGCAAAAATGATGTAATTGACTTACTTTCCCGTCATGAAAAACTCGATTTGATTGGGTAAATAAACGTCCTTCCTATGTGAAGGCATCATATTGCGTACCTGTTTAGGCTTCTGGAGTCTGTTTTCTCATCTGTTAGCTGTCTCAATGGTTCGTTTCTGTACGAGGACGATCGGCGTTTTCTTTCCGAAGGGCGAGTTTTCGGAGTGAACTTGGACGACGTCATGGATACTTTCACTGCTCTTGGAGAGTCATCGGATGCTCGTCAATATGCGGATTTAGTAGGATTGCTTTATTCTTCGCTTTTGCTCTATATTTTTAAATTACTATACTTCAGCTCATTGAGACATGCCAGATGTCTGTATTTGGAGATGATTTCAATCCGTCTGTCATTTGTTCAGTCGAATCGCTTCGAGTTTACTTACTGCTGGTGTGGATACATCCGTTTGCCACTAATGTTACTCGCGATGTTGTTACTCGCCTCCACTTACCATTTGCAGAATCCATATCTAGGCTCAGGCCTGTTTATCGGAATGCTTTAGGTCTGTTTTGAATGCAAATTTTATTTGATCACAATGCACATGCATTTATTCAAGAAAAGTGGTGGGTCATCCTACCCGTACGGCATTTCAATAGGCTTGCAACCGCAATGCTCGCAGCAATTCGATGCCTTGTCAAGGATAAGGCTAATCCTGGTGAATGTCGAGCTTTTCTAGAAATTCTCGCATCTTTGTGTGCTATCAATAAAGTGAGTTATTCCCAAATTTATTACGTATATTTCAACTGGGGTTCAACTTTGTGCTTCAAATAGAATACTTTCGTAAATTTGAATGTTTTCGGATTAAAAAGAACCAGTTCAAAAGAATATTGATGAAAACATCATCCAAACACACCTTATACTAAAAGCTGTACTGAGTTTTATGTTGATCTGCGTAATCCTATTGAACGATGCGCCAAATATTCTTTGATTTTGTCAAGACGAACATAACAAAACATAACATTTTTAGGTTACGAACAAAATACCGCTGGAAAATTTCTATATTCACGAACTTGCGGATAATTACAATCTAAAAATGGATTATGTGAATTGGGCACGTGCACAGGTAATTGGTTAGCCCTAAGCGGGGTGATGCTCAAGCTCTGAAAACTTAGGGTATTCTCGTGTTACTGCAGGAAGGTAGAGAAGCGTCAGTGACTTGCTGGTCTAACTATCCATTTATCATGAACGCGGCTGCGAAGGGAGAACTCCTATACGTCGAAGCAGTGATGTCTATGCAGGTAGATTAGAATTGTCTTTGTTTTGCATTGCTTGTTCCAAGAAAATTTAATTGCAGACGTCGATGAATGGTGCGCGTTTGACGCTATTTGGCTTCGATCTTTTCATTGAACAGCCATTTTTTGAGTTGACTGTTCGCCGGCAACACATTGTTCAGGACACTATTAATGGACTTCTTTCCATTGATAGACGGTATCTGCAACGCCCTTTGAAGGTAAGATTAGAAAGCTTCTTCCTTCCTACCCATTGAACTCAAATGTTTAGGTTCAATTCATGAATGAAGAAGCAGAGGATGCGGGTGGTGTCAAAAAGGAGTTTTTCATGATTTTGTTCCAAAAACTCCTGCAATCTGAGTATGTGGGACCTAAACTGCTTTACTTTTCACATCTGTATATCTTGTTTTTAGCTACGGAATGTTTGTTGAAGATCCCGACTCACATTTGGTATGGTTTAGTGGATTTGATGTAGAGGAAGTGAACTACTATAAAATGGTTGGCATACTATGTGGACTCGCTGTCTATAATTGTGTGCTAGTTGCTTTTCCATTCCCACTAGCCCTATACAAGGTCTGTCTCGCGCTGTACCAGTCGATATTTGCATACAAAGCTTTTTTAAGATACTTCTTGACCAGCAGCCAGTGTTAGAAGATCTGGCCGAATTGAGTCCTGTGGAAGGTCGAAGTTTGCAGGAATTGCTTGACTACCAGGGTGACGATTTTGAGGTATGAAGATGAACATTACTGAATACCCTCCGCAAAAGTATAAATTCAGGATGTATTTTGCTTAAACTTCACCATCAGCTATGCTGCGTTTGGTAGCACCGAGACATTGGAGTTGAAGGCTGGAGGGGAAAAAATTCCTGTTACCCAGTCAAATAAGAGCGATTATGTACAGGTAAGCTTTTACAGGTTTTCAGTAAAAGATCTGTATCTTTATTAAGAAAATAATCCTATTTTGGTCTCAATGTTCTAAATTAGATTTATTTCATCTCCTTTCTTTCAAGCTAAGCGCCATCATCAAAATCCTGTGGTTCTTAAGGTAGCGAGCAGTTTTGTATGTTCAATGGCTTCCACCTTATCTATCTCCAATAACTTCTCTACCTTTCTTTAGCAAGCGATGGAAGCTCTTAGCACCTATTGACAACTGTTCTTTTCTTTCGTTCTTGTTTCAATCATAGCTTGTACATCAAATATTTGATTTTTGCTTTATTTGGAACGCTATAATGAACAAATAGATATCAAAAAAGTGACTTGCATCATCAATTGAATAAATCTTTCCAGCGGTACGTGCAGCATCGACTTTGCATCGGACGTAATGGTGAAGTAGAACGTCAGGCAGCTGCATTCCGCGATGGATTCAAAATGGTGTTGAATAGTCGTATCGTCTCCTTCTTTCAACCAAGAGAACTCATGGAACTAGTTGTTGGCAATGAAAACTACGACTGGTCGGAATTGCGCAAGGTCGGCAGTTAATCTGAGTTTTTGGCGGTTTGGTGGTTACTTTTACTCCTTTCTCTAATGTAGAGTCGCTTGTAGTAATGGTTTTGAACTCACTTAGGCTCCTTCCTTTCTTTGCTTTAAGGTTAGATTTCCGCAATGCTTACTCCATTGATTTTTTATCAGTCAAGAAAAAGGTTTAAAAATGACCGATACGTTGATTATTTTATCTGGGAGAAGATCTCGATTTGCTGGACTTTATATCTTGTCGCTACTTCCGCCTACTCTTTAGTTGCTTCAGAGATACTTGCTACAAAATTTACGCATTTTTTCTTGTACAAGGTCTAGCTGATTACTCGTTTTGGTTTGTAAAGCCTTCTGGTAGATTCATAATAGATTCACATATGCATCATAGATGTGACTACAGTCACCCATGCAGTTGACAGTTGTGTGCTGGCTGCGGGAACCGGCTTTTTAGCGGCGCCGTGTGCGTTTTGGAATGAGCCACTGACGGGGGGAGGACTAATTGCTAGCGGCGCTTGGTGTGCGCCTCATCACCTCCATCAAATGCGATGTGTTGTTTAGCGCTGCGCAGCTTCAAGTGCGATTGTTGCGAGATTTCCACGCAAACCGGCGCTTTCGATAGGCCTTGAATCTCACGTATTTAAGCATGATTTACGGGAGATGGAAGGATTGGATAGATGAAGCTAAGACTTCAGATTGAAAAGTGTCATGCGGTCTCTTTAGCGCATTACCAGCGGAGCTACCAGGTGCTATAGAACAAAATTTTGTTGAATTCTCAATTTTGGGAAGGCTTGCATAACCATCTGCCTAATTGAGGGAGTTTCTCGGAGTAATTTCGTCACCATTTCTTTCTTAG